AAGAACTCAATGTGATATGTTATACAGTAAAGTTAGTTAGGTATAATGAGCGATGAGTACACAAAGGATAGAGCAATATGTTCTGTTTGGGGATTAAGAACAAGCTTCATTGAGGAATTGACATTGGGATTGGGCTCTTATGGATGAGTATACTAAGCATTGTGGTAAGTGCTTTAGGAGAGTAACTATTACTCAGAATTATTTTGGTTGCAAGATACAGGAAGCCCAACTTAAACTGGCTGAGACAAACCAGGGATTTATTGGCTTATATAACAGGAAAATCTAGAGGTAGGACAGGCCAAGCATGGTTCAGTTATGACTCTGCTTCTTTCCTCTGTGACTCTCTTGACTCTGTCTTCCTCTGTATGTTGGCCTTGTTCTCAGGATGGTTTTCCTCATAGTTAAAAGAGGCAAACCAGTGGCAACCAGGGCTGATGCTTCTTGTTTTATATCCAGTGAAGTAGAGAGCATTGTTTCTCACACTGTAATACAAAAGTGAACCTTAGTGTTTTGGGATAAGTAAATTTTAGGGTAAGATTATAATAAGCATAGGAGGTCTACAAAGAATTAGTTCAAAAGCAATTGAACAGTTCAAATAGCTTGAAGGCAGCCTCAATTTCAGCTTATGCTTCATATTTATTTGTTTAATTCTTGATTTTAAATGACATTGCTTTTCCTATGCCTCTTATGGTATGTGTGTTGAATTAGAGACAAAATTATGGACTGCTAGAATAGCAACACTATTTCCATAACATAGAGATCACTTGTCCTATCAAGGAATCTTTACAGCCTGCCTATGAAATGAGAGTAGTGGACAAAGCTAATTATGAGAAGACAGTGTTACGAATGGTTCAAGAGCATAGTCTCTGAAGTTGTCTGCCATCACCTCTGATTTGCCATCACTTAGCTGGATACCTTGGGCAAATTACTTCATCTCCTGGAGCTTTAGTTTATTTATAAAGTAGAAAAAAATATTAAGATCTACCGCATAAGATTTGAGGATTGCATGAGATAATCCATGTAATGCATATAACAAAAGTTCCCAAATTATCTTGGTTCACTGTGCCCTTAGTGTAATTGTTTTGAAATTGTTTTCAGAGCACTCCTAAGCCAAAAGAAATACTTAACACTTCTGCTTATTAAGTAATTAGGTGCAAAAACTTAATGGTAGTAATTCATGCCATGTCCGACAGATGTCGCTGTGTTTCCCTCAAATTTAAAATCTCTTACATTATCCCTTTGAGTTGACTATGGTACCCTGGGGTGCCTTGGTGCACAGTTTGGGAATAGAACATCGCCAAGTACATAGTTGGTGCTAAGTACATGGTATTTATTATTATTGTAAAATGTCTGTGATTATTATTAGAAGGGACCTGGGTACCAAAGAGGACACTGGTCCAATAGTTTAACCCAGATGTTGCATACCTCTGAGGCGGGACACCTCCCTTTTTGTTAGTAATCACTTCCAGTCCCAGGTTTCTTCTAAGTCAGCACCAACTCGCCCTGTCTGAGAGGGGAGAGTGATTTCTATGTGAACAGGCAAGAAAAATTCATTCTCAAAGCAGTACCATTTTCTAGCTTTGCCAAGATTTTCCCACTCCTCTAACCTCTCATCAGCCAAAAGTTTAGAAGAGACTTCTGTATGTTAGATAAAAAATACTTCCCTCTGTCTGGCTTCTTCCACTTTCCTTTTCCTTCCCCTTCCTCTCTCCATGTCCCTTTTGGCCAGTGTCTAAAACCCAGCCCTGCCCCATCATTATGAGAGGAGGCTGGCTATTTAATTCAGGAAAAATGATTGGTTGAACTCTGTTTTGAGTCTTAGCTTGGCTTGCGAGCCAGCAAGAACAGTGGGTACTGAGAGATCATTCCTAAGTACCTCCTCTTCTTTCCTAAGGGAGCAGAGGAAAGCAATTTAAACAGAGAGACTCTAGCAAGTGGCCTGTGGGCTTGGGCACCCTTGAGAGGTGGAGGAGAATGGAGGTGGGGGCTGTGTTGACTCTCTAACTATTAGTAACTGAGGCCCATGGGGGATCTTTGACATTTTCCTAGAGGCTAGAGCTGACATTAGTTCTATCTGTTTTTTTAGATTCACTGAAGGTAAATCTGATGTTTGAGGAATGAGAAGGAATGAAATAGCAGACCTGTCCATGCACTGTTGACTCTGGGACTCCTTGGTGCTGGCCAGCAGAGGTCGGGAGCGGCTGGTTGGCTTTTAGCCCTGGCTGGCGGCGTTTGCTTTGGCCGTTGGGGGAAAGAGCACTTTGTGGAAAGCCAGCCTTTCCAGCCAAGGGCCTATTTTTGTCCTGAATCTGTTGAGTCCAGCCTGAAGGCTGGGTCCAGGATCAACAGAGGCCATGGAAAATGGGACTAGATGTCTGGCAGCCAGAACTGTGGGCTTTGTCTTCCTGACCAGGGCATTCAGCTCATGAAGACAGGAAAGATGGGGAGCTGGGGTCCTTGTGGTATCAGGGCCAGAAAGCTAGCTGCTTTTTGCTTGGTCATTGTAGCCCAGGACTGGCTAGAATACATCACTATACCTCATCCCTTCCCAGGGTATCCAGTCTAGGAAGGTATATATGTGGTTAGAGCTGACATAGTTCCCAAAGTGCCTGAGGTCCCCTAGGTGGGGGCCTCCCCACACTGAGGGACCGCTAGATCATTAGATCAATAATATCCTTACCAATCAACGAATCAGATACGGTGGGAACACAGAAAGGTATCAGTTAGAATCCCTTTTTTTCTGGGATCTCAAGGTCTTTCTGGGGAAATAGGCCATTTTCACAAAGAGATAATTTCAGTACTGGACAGAGTAGAATGAGGACCATATGAATGGCACAAAGAAGTGCTGAAGGAGTTCAGAGGAGAGCAAGAGCTCTGGGAGAGATATGGGTTGGGCTGGGTCCTGAAAAGTGGGTAAGAATCAGATAATCATGTGATGAGCATTCTTTTATGCTCTTAAGGCAGAGATACTTTGAAACTGGCTCAAGATATATCTTTTATTTACTGTAGGATCCTGGTCTTCAACCAGATTGTGTTCAGACTAAGATACTTGTATTGAGATGTTTCTGAACCTGATTGACCAGAATGACCTGTACTTCTCAGACCACTTCAACTTGTCTAGAGCTGGAATAGAACTAGAGTGATGTCTGGAAGCATGAATCATCTTCCTCAATATTTCTTTTATCCTGTCGCTCAACCCTATCTGAAACCCAACTCTTCCATTGTTTTCAGTATGGCCAAGGAACTGTATTTGGTATTCAAGGCCTTTCACACTCTGATCCCAACCTTTCCATCTGTTCTCTCATTCTTCTTGAAGACTCCCAGTAATTCCATACAGGTTATATCTCCTTATCCCTAGAAGCCATGAGAAGTGGCTTCAAGTTATTTGTGGGCTCAGAGGACTTTGGCACCAGTCTGCTCCCTCTCTCTGAGAATTTGGGACTCTTTATGAGGTCTATTCACTTTCTTTCATATCTAACATTCCCATTACATTCCTACTTGAGCAGGGTCCTATTCAAAACTGTTTCTTTTTTTCTCTAGATTGGGGGTCAGGAAACTTATTCTGTAAAAGGCCAGATAGTAAATATTTTAGGCTCTGAGAGCCATAAGGTTCAGCTATTCAACTCTGCTGTGGTTGCAGGAAGGCAGCCATAGGTAAGTTGTAAATGAATGAGCATGGCTGTGTTCCAACAAAATTTATTTTATGGGCTGAAATTTGAATTTCATATAATTTTTCACGTGTCATAAAATATTTTTCTTTTGTTTTTTCCAACCATTTAAAAAATTTAAAAAGCATTCTCAGCTCACACCCTGAACAAAAGTAGACAGTGGCTTGGATATGGTCTGTAAGCCTGAGTTTGCCAACCTAGCTCTAGAAGACAGAACTGGACTACTGGGCGGAAATTACAGGGGAGAGAGTTTGGCTCAAAAAATGATCAGAATTAAAGGGAAATGGAACAGATTGCCTAGGAAGTTAGAGCTACTCATTTTTCATCAAAGGTATTCAAGCACCACCAGTCAGGGATGTCATAGATGAACTCAGAAGTCCTGTGGGAGCTCGCACTTGATGCTTTCCAAGTATATAGGATTGTTTTTTTTGTGTGTGAGTTTTGCTTCCTCCATATAACCATCATTTTCTAACTACTTGCTGTTTTCCTTTTATTTTTGAAAGTCTGTGTGGTTGTCTCCCACTCTTCCCAACCTAGCATTTGATGATACGGTCTCAATTTGCTCCCTAGTTTTTAAATGTGTGCACCTATTATTTCCCTTCCAGAAACCCAAGGGTTAATGTCAAAAGGGCAAGGTTCATCAGGCAGCTGCTACACTGTTGCCTAGCAACAATCAGAGGCAGCTGGGAATTACTGCAGAGGTCTTTGTGGGAAGATGGTTTGACCCAACCATCAGGGCAGAATAAAGAGCAAATGAGATCATGTAAATGCCCTTTATTATTGATAAAAAGAGTTTGATTCTGCCTTACAGAATATCATATGCACTATTGCTTTACTAAAAGGAATTTAAGTTTGCTTCAAGAAAATTCATCTTCTTTTTGCTCCCCTCCCTTCCACAGTGGTTTGATCCTGCTTCTTAGAACAGCTTTCCCTTTCTGCAAATCCTCCACAGTAGTCTGATCCTATCTCACAAACTACTAGGCCCTTTGTGTTCTTATTCTCTTTTCTTCCATCCCTACCTCACAGTGGTTTGAAGACACCTTATAGAAAAGCATCCCTGTTCAGCCCTCTATACATCTCAGTGGTTTGATCCTGTCTGGAGAGCATCAGCATCATTCCCCCTCTTGTCTCACGCCAATGATTTGATCCTGCGTCATTGAGCATCAGTTTCTTTTAGCTCCTCCCCCGGGGTCTACAGTGGTTTGGTCCTACCTCACAGACAATTAGGTCCTTTCTGATCCCCCCTCCAGCATCACCACCACAAATGGTATGGTCCTTAGCATTAGGTCCTTTTTGTAACCCCCACTGGCTTCTAAGCAGATTGAAGCTGCTTCATCTCATTCCTAATTCATCTTGATCCCTTCAGTGGCTTATTCTTGCATTAGCAATGTAAAACTGGCCCCAATGGGTTTTAAATGGTCAGAACTTGCTCTTGACCAGTTCAAATCTTTTCTCACAAGGGAAAATCAGTTCTGACCACTTCAAATCTATTTTGACCAGTTTAAACTAATTCTGCCGAGCTGGAGCCTGAGGTCGGTAAACCCAGGAAGATGGCTGAAGACGATGCTGATTTGAGCCACAGCAAGGAATCAGGTACTTAAACAGATGTTGAAACTGAGCTGAGGACTAGGAAAGAAAACAGATCAAATGAGACAGCAAAATATAGCTGCCAGAGTTGGTTGAGGGGAGGCCCAAAAGAACTTAGTTGCACCCAAACCTATTTATTTTAAGAGGTGAGAGGCCATTTTGAGGAGGTAATTCAGGATTTGGGGTTCTGTGCCTTGGTATGTCTGGTAAGCAGTATGGGAGCCGATACCATCTAGCAGCCCCATCCTGCTAGAGCTGAGACTGGACTGTATGCGGCCCCGGTGCTGCCTGAAAGCCAGCCCGTGGGATCATTCTTTGTATCTAGCCTCATTTCAGGTCGCAATTTTTAGAGTCCCAAACCATGAATGACAACCTTTCCACCCCTTTGTGGATGGTCATGATACTTTTTAGGTGTTTAGGGATGCTATTTAGGTTAGAAGAAAGAACTGGTAAATCTTGAAGAAAAGAGCTAATTACAATAGGTAAGACATGAAATGACTGACTCAGTTAATTAAAATTGAGTTGAGGACTATACCTTGTAATTTTTTAGAGAACTGTATAAGAAAAGGTGGTAGGTTGAGAACCTATGGGACTGTTTATTTCCTCATTGCTGTGGGCTGAAGTAGAAATTGGCCTGTGTTGTCTGATATTTCTCCCAGGTGGTTGTCTTTTTGTCCTTTGTGGGGACTGCACTGTGAAGGGTAGGGATTGAAAAAATGGAGGATGAAAAATGAAATTTTTATAGACTATAACATTTCAATTTGTGCAAAATCTCTGCAATGGGACAATGGACAGGACCGATGCTTTGATGACGAGTGACAGAATGCTGCAAGATTGAGGGTGGGGCTGGACCTCTGGTTTGGTACAATATGTCTCAACATGTTTTCTGAAGATGGATGAGGCTCTATGGCTGCTTACCTGTAAGGTTAAAACGAAAGTATTCCTAGAATGGCATAGGAACTTAGCTGCCTGGGAAGGAAACTGATCCTTTTGTGAGAAAATTGGCTTAGGATCCTGTAATTTGAAAGATGTCTTTCAGGAAGATTAATTCAGTTAGCCACTGCCTATTTCTTGACAGGGGAGGATGGTGACCATTTTAGAGAAGACAGTTGAATGGCCCCTCCAGATGCTGAGGTGGAAAATAATTAGAAAATTTGGAGTCAGATAATTTAGGCTTTGAATCCTGGTTCTGCTATTTGCTATGTGGATGTTGAGCAAATTATCTAACCTCCCAAAGGCTTGTTTTCCTTATTTGTAAAATAAATATCATCTGCCCTAAAAAATAAGAACCTTAGAGTTTAGTGCCTTTTTGAGCAAAGTAGCTGCCATTCAACATTTTTGTTTGATTAAACTAGATTGTGTGGCAGGCACTATATTGTGGATATGTGGGGGAAATAATACATAATTTAGCTTAATAAAGAAAATTTCTCTTAAAATTTTCAACAATGTTGCCCCCAAATGAAGCTATTGAACTATTTTGAAGACAAAGGAGAAATTGTTCATTGAAGTATTTTATAAACTATAAAGCACAATATAGATGTGAGTAATTGTTATTTTTATAATAGTATGTTAATTGTCATTAACGTGACACTCACGAAAGCCACAGCATAAAATGGCTTCCAGTGTTTCAGACTCACAGATATCTCTGGTTCCAGATTCATTTCCTACTTCATCCTGGACCTGTGGCCACCAGAAGCCCTGAGATATGGTATGCAGCATTATAAACTGTGGTGACTAAAGGTGGGGGATGGACGATGGGGGGGATCATGTCAGAAATATAGGTGATAGGTGGGGTCCATTGTGGGTATCACAATCTGTCTTTCAACCAAAAACATCTTGAAATGATTTTATTGCAAGGCAAGCCTGGATTACCTCACCTGGATTTATCACCCTCCCCGAAAACAGCAGGATCAGGTACAGGAGCAACAGGAAGGGCAATGATGTAGACCTTCATGAATGTGGAGGTCCTGATTCTGCCATTAATAAGTGAGGGGGATGGGAGCCAGGTCAGGCAGTAGAGCCTGAGCTTGAAAAATTAAATTTCAATATATTTTTGGCCATAATTGCCCCATTAGGGAGCTATGTCCTATATTCAGATTTGTGGTCTTGGAAACATGGCCTTTTTGATAGGACCATTTGACTAATAGATGCAAGTATGTGATGGTTACAGTGTACCCATATTGCAGCAAGGCGTGTTACAAAGATTTTTATTTTTATGACATCCTGGTGAACAAGATGTAGCAAACAAGAGCTGGAACATTGTTCCTTTAGTTGGATTCTGAAATAGTTTTTTTTTAAGTACTACTATTTTTTGAGCACTTACTGTGTGCCAGACATTGTGCTAATAAGTACTTTGTATGCATTAATCTTTTAATCCTCACAATAGCCTTATGAGCTATGTGTTATTAGCTCTATCATACAGATGAGGAAACCATTTACAAAGGGTGCTAATTATTGATTCTATGTTCCTCTGGATCCAGAATTCTTAAGAAGTATGTGTGTGTGGTGGGGGGGAGTAAGGTGGGGTGAGGGCACATTCTCTGAGGGGTTTATCAGAATCGCCTGAATGAGGGTTTTTCCAAACCATATAGGCCTTTCCCCCCATTAAAGTACTCCCTTTTAGAAGGCCTGCCTCTCCTTGAGTATCTCTGATGTTTTATGAGCTAATGTGATTGATGTAAATAGGTAGTAGGAATGGCTCTCAGGTATGTAGAAGGCAGGAAAAAGGTTGAGCTTCACTATTGCAAAGAGAGATCTTTGGTGGTGAGCTGTAGGGCTCTGTACCTGGCTCTGTACATTCAACATTTTAATTAATGACTTGGATGGAGATGTAGAAAAGTATGCTCATTAAACATTAAGAGAACTGGAGCAGGAGGGAAAGTATATGTATTGGATGACAGAACCAAGAATCCAAAAAGAATTTAGTAGACTGAAAAGGCAGTTCAAAAACCACAAAATTAATTTGATAAGAATGTATAACATCTTGCATAATTTTCATAAAATTTAAAAAATATTAGCAATTCTAAAGAATGGATATATGTTACATATGGCTGCCAAGAAGTTAATGGAAACACAGGCTCCAAAAGGAGGTGATTATCCCACTCTTTCCTGAGTTTGTAGAACTACACCTCAAGTATTGTGCTTAGTGCCAAAAAGTTAATGGAAACACAGGCTCCAAAAGGAGGTGATTATCCCACTCTTTCCTGAGTTTGTAGAACTACACCTCAAGTATTGTGCTTAGTTAGGGCAGTTATCTTTTAAAGACGGACAAATACAAAATAGAGGCTAAGAAGAAAAGCTTGGAGGGCAGAGTGGGACATGATTACTATCTTCCAGTATGTGCAGGGCTGTCATAAGAAAGGCGATTTTATATATATCTGTAAAATGTGACCCCAAGGGACAGAATTAGGACTGTTATGTAGAAGTTATAACAGAACTGACTGAAGATGAAATGGGCTGTGTTAGAAGTGAATGAGTTCCCTATCATAGGAAACATTTTAGCAGAAGCTGGCTGACTACTTACTAGGGATTTAAATTTTGCTACAAAATCTCAAATGCAACCTTAATTGCTATAGTTCAGTGGATTGAGAGAATTTCCATGAGCACTTATTGAATGTTCTTTGGTTGATGGAGTGGGTGGTGATCAGAAAGGAGAGGAATAAGGTAAACCCTGATAATTGCTAGTGAATCCAAGGAAACCCTGGGGTTAACTGGTGTGGTCCAGCCAAGGATTACACCGAAGGAAGGAAATATTTACTAAGTACCTAGTGTGTGCCTCGTGCTTTTACACACATTATTTTTAAATTTTTACAACAATCAGGTGACTTATGTATTAGTAGTATTGCCTTTACAGATGAGAAAACAGGGGCTCAGAGAGGTTTAGTGACTTGCCCAAGGTCATGCAGCTAGTAAGTGACTTTGGGGAAGCAATCAAAACCCTATGTAGGGAAAAATGTGACAGAATTTCTAATTTTTACCTGATCACTTCTCCAGTTGAGTAAAGAGCTGGTATTGCCAGAGTCAAGTCAGGACTATGTGAACAAGTGCGTCATGCTGGGCTGGGTGCCTGGAGTAGATGAGAATATCATGAAGATATATGATCACTCTCTAGTCCAGCAGGTCCTGGAGGATGGTGTTGGAAGGCAGCTAAGCTATTACACAGGCTAAATGGCATGACTGTTTATTCATAATGTCTGTACCTTATACGGAATACTGTTTTCCATAGACTCTCCAAATGGTACAGCTGTAAGAGGATGTAAAGATCTTCAAAGTCCAGACAATCCTATCTATTTTGAAGACCAAGAAGTTGTGACCCAGAGAGGGGAAAGGACTCAACTTCTTCCACTTAATAATTTTGCCCCTGATATTGTCAGGGATTTACTTTTAAAAATATAATCTAGTGAATTTAGGATTAGAGTTTCTTAGAGCAGATTTGTTTTTCAGGAAGGAACAACTCCCCTATGAAGCTTGCTACTCTGTTTCAGAGCTACAAGATAGGTATGTAATCTTCTGGTTTGTTATTTTCCCCTAATATTAGAGAAGCCAGCATGATAAAAATAAAAAGAGCATAAGCTTTAGAGTCAGATAGATTGGGTTTAATTTATTTACCTGAACCCATGTGAAATTGTTTAACTTCCTTGAGCTTCAGAATCATTATCTGTGAAAAGGGGAGTAATAGTTTGATTTTAGCCATGTAGAGTTTGAGATACTTGTGGAAAATCCAGGTGGAGAGATTTAGGAAGGCTGAAGCTCAGGAAAATGACCTAGTCTGGAGATGCAGATTTGAGAGTCCACAGCCAAGGGGAAGGTATATAAAGTCACAAGCATGGATGGCATTGCCTAGGCAGAGGGATCTCTTCCATATGACAGCTCTTCAGCTATTTGTGGTTGATAGTCATGTTATCCAGATTATTCAATTCTCTAGGCTTGACAACCCTAGATGTCAGAATTATCTTTGATAATTCTGCACTTGTCTTGAATTCTAGCCTCTTCATCAGCCAAGTTGTTCTTTTGAGGACATATCATATTTTGGTTTTATTAGTCTTGAGGTGTGGTGTTCTAATGCTAAACTCAGTACTCCTGGTATGGTGTGGAGTAAGAGCAAGACCATCACTTCCTTCATTCTAGACACTGTACTTTTACTTGTGTGGCCTAAGGTCACATTAGCTCATTTTTGGTCTCCATGCCTTACCACTGACTCATATCATGTATACTGTTGAGTAAACCTCCTAAGTCTTTAACAGGTACTACTGATAAGCCATATTATTGACCCTCTAATTATGAAATAGTGATTGTCTGTGTCAGCGAGTCTCAAACCTTAGTATGCATAAGATTTACTTGGGAAGCTTGTTTAAAATGCAGATCCTGGGCACCCAGTCACCATATTGTGAGTCAATAGGTCTGCAATGGGGCCCAGGAATCTGTTTTAACAAACACTTCAGGTGACTCAGATGCAGGTTGTCCTTTACAATACTCTGAGGAATACTGTCCTATGACACAGAGGAAACTGCGTTTGACTCATTTTAGTTCCTGGCAGTGACTTGGCCTCTATCCCCTTGCTGGTCCTGCTTCGCTGCAGATTGCAGCCAATGAAATAGCAGTAGAATACCACCAACCCCATTTCATTTCTTGATATCTAACACTTGGATTTAGTGGGAAAGGTGAAACTTTAACTTTGCTTTTCCATTTTTTGAAGCTTCTTAGATACTCTGGAACTGGCTGACCTGTATTTAGAAAGGCACTTCATTGGGAGCCAGAATAATAGAGGCTTCAAAAGGTGAGGTTCATTGATTGATGATTGGTGGCTTGTTATATCCCCAAAAGATACACTATCCACCAAACTAAATTTCAGGTGTATTAAAGAATTTTATGCAAAATATTAAAGACTGAAAAATAGAAGAAAATGTAGCTGAATAAGTTATTTCCTCTTTGAATAGGCTTAAAATAATATATGATATCACAAAGGAAATGGTTATTTATTGTGATTTTGCTGTTTAAAATGTCCCCAAGGCATAGTGCTGAATTGCTGTCTAGTGTTCCTGAGTGCAAGAAGGCTGTGATGTGCCTTATGGAGAAAATATGTGTGTTAGATAAGCTTAGTTCAGGCATGAGTTATAGTGCTATTGGCTATGAGTTCAGTGTTAATGAATCAACAATATATACATTAAATAAAGTATCTTTAAATAGAAACACACATAAGCAAGGTATGTATTGACTTGTTGAGAAAAATATTGTTACGGAGGCTTGCAGAAACCTAACTCTGTGTTTCCCCAGGAACAGTCATTCAGGATTTGCCAATTCAGTGTTTGCAGTAACTTTATAAAACATAACTAATGTGAATAATGAAAATCGACTGCATACAGTTATGATTATAATATAACATGCTAAATATGTCAAAATACATGTAAATTGATTTTAAAAGGAAGATCCTGGTTTTAAAAATGAGCAAAGGAAATATATATGTAATTCACAAAACAAGGAAAACAAACCATGTATATAAACGTTACTAAAAAAACTCTTCTATTTTACTTGTAATCAAGGAAATCAAATTGAAGCAATGATGACATGTCATATTTTGTTGCCTATCAAATTAGAAAAAATAGAAAAGATAATATTCTGTGCTAATTAGAGTGCAGTGGTCATTCTTGTACATTGCCAGTGGATTAAATTGATATGTTGTTTTGGGAAATAGCTTGAGGATATGTATCAATAGCTCTAAAAATCTCAATATCTTATTACTTAGAAATTCAATTTTTAAGAATGTTTCTTGAGGAAATAGAGATTCAGATAAAGATTTATGTACCTTCAGTAAAACGTTATTTGTAAAAATGAGAATGGAAATGCCCAAGAATAGGGGAAATGATGTATTATGGATGGAAACAAGATAGGAGACTTAGAAACTGTTAAAAAAAATTTTTAAAGAAAAGTTAATGGAATGGGAAAATGTTAATGATTTAACTGATATAAAGCAGATTATGAAATATATGATAAAATTAAATTATACTAAAGTTATGTATACAAAGCTAAATCAACCTGAAAATAAATAAATTTATTTAAGAGTAAAGCATATTTTATTGTATGTGTCTTTAATTTCTAACCAGGAGCTAGGGGTAGATGGGATCTCCTCTGCTGTCTGGTAACCATCATTATAACTTTATTCAGTTGGGTATATTTTAGTAGATGGGTCAGTGGGTTTTGTCAGAACAAGGACCTGGGAACTACTGGGCTGGACCAGACCAGGGAAAGACAGAAGTTGGACTCCCTTTCTTCTCTCTTGCCCTTGCCCCTCCCCTTCTCCTCCTCCCCTTCCTCTTATCTCCCCTCCCCATTTTTCTCTCCTCTCATTCTTCTCCCCTCCTCCTCTCCCTTCCCCTTTCCCTCTCCTCTCCTTCTCTTTCTCTCCTTCTCTCACTCCCTGTCTCTCTTCTCCCTCTCTCTTCCTCCTTCTCTCTCCTGACATTTGGTAATACAGAGAAAGGAAAGATTCATTCTGATTTGTGTGAAGAGGTGATGTTGGCAGGATTTTGTAAGGCTTCAAGAAGAAGGTGACATTTGAATTGAGTAGTGAAGTATATGTAGGATTTTCCTAGGTGGAAAATTCAGGGCACATCTTGACCTTCTTAGCTTCTAAATGTTAATGGTGCTACCCTAGACTTTAAAAGCAATGCCTTTGGGAGGCACTGAGAGCAATTTTCCTTTGGTATGGCTGCACCTAGAATTTTCTACTGCTTTTCCTCAGAGTCCAGGTAAGTTGTCATATTCTGATGCCCTGATCTTGGGATCAATAGGGGATGTACACAGAAAAAAAATTCAAGAATTCTACATCATTTTGATGAAGGAGGTATGTAATGTGGAGACTGGATTAAAGGTTGGGGAGATGTTGGGGCAAGAAAGAGAAAGGAAGAAATGTTTGTTGAGAACAAAAATTTGTTGTGGTGTTATAGCTCTTATTTAATTTTACTGAGTGTACTTAACAACTAAAAATAGGCAATTATTCCAATTTTACAGATGAGATGTAATGAGGGTCTGAAGGAGGGTAGGATAGTGGAGGTAGTGAGGAGTGGATGCATGTAATTTACATTTTGGAAATAAATTTGCATGTAGCAGTAGCAAGGGTGGAGGGATTATTAATCAGCTTAACTTTAATGTGCAGCTAACTGTTGGGACTCTGCTTAGTTCACAGAGTTGTACCAAAGTTAGATGAATTAAGGGCTGTGGCAGTGTTCTGTAAATTTCAAACCATTGT